CAGTCACCTGGTGACTGACCCGGTCACCCAGCTGGCTTTCATGCCTACATGGGCACTAGAACTCAAGTCACCCAGCTAGCTTTTGTGCCTAAACCAGCACTAGAACTCAAGTCACCCAGCTGGCTTTCATGCCTACATGGGCACTAGAACTCAGTCACCTGGTGATTGACCCAGTCACCCAGCCCAATTTCTTAAGGTGGGGCTAGAACTCCCCGTCTCCTGGTGATTGGCCCAAAGCCACCCAATTCCCCTTTGATGCCTCAGGCCAAACGACAACTCCAGGCCTGGTGCCAAGAGTATTCCAGTGCCCCTCTTGTATGACTGGGAAGCTAGGCCAACCTATCAGGGGAGAATAATGGGGGGGGGGCTTACCTTCAAGCGTTTGACCACTTCGTCGTTGGTGATCTTATCCGTGATCTCCTTCACTCCAGGCGGGTAGAAGATGATCTTGCCATCGGGGGGAGGCTTGGGTTGGGTGGACGGGAAGTCCATCCTGGCGCTGATGCCGACGCTGCCGTCGAGAAAGTTTCCTTCTCCGCAGGCTTCTACCGGCCTCTGCCGGTGGCAAAACAAAAGTTCAGACTTTCCCCAGCCGTTGATTTCCTCCCCCATTTCGAAGCCTCGAGTGGAAATAAAGGCCCCTTTCCCACGACGACGACCGGGCTCGCCGCTCGTTTCCACCCTCTCCGCGTCCGGGCCGGGCCGAGTCCCACGGGGGCCCGCCCGGCAGCGCCTTCCTTCCCCCACCCTCACGCGGCTTTCCGCGATCAGCCCCTCCGGGCATCGCTACCACGATGAGGGCCGGGCTCGGGCGGGAGCGTTGGGGGAAGGAGCCCCCAGGGCCCGCAGAAAGATCCGAGCGGGGAAGGAGAGTCCCGCCGCCGGGATAAGGCGCCTCCCGCAAGCGGGCAGGCGAGGCCTAGAAGTTAGGCCTCAAAACGACCCGCAACACCCGGTGGGGGCAGGGGGTGTCCCTCACACGGCCGGAGGAGCCCCCCGGCCACTCTGCGGCCACTTGGGCCGCTCCCTCGGCAACTTTTACCTCAGCACTTCCCTCAGGCGACGCCCGGCTCCGGCCAAGATGTCGCCCCTGCCCTCACCGGCGACTGGAAGAAGCCACCGCCGCCGCCGCCAGACAGATCCCCGCGCCCGGCCCGCCTTTTTACCTCATGCAGCTCCGGGAGGTGCAGCATCGAGCAGGCGGTGGCGGAAGGCGGCGGTGGTGGTCGGGGTCTCCGGCGTTTCTGCCGCTCGCTGGTGCTGCCACGATGCGGACCGACCTGCTTTTTCCCCCCCGCCGCCCCGCGCTTCTTGCCGCCTCAGTCAGGCCCGGCGGCTGTCGGGGACGCCTGGGCCGAGCGTGCGCCTGGCCGCGGGGAGACAGTGCCGCTCCTCGGCCGGCCGGGGAAGAACAGCCCAGGAGGAGAGGAGGTGAGGCCGCCGCTCGGCGCTCCTCTCCGGCGACCGTCCTTCCACGCAGGCGGGGAGTGAGCAGGCCCGCCCTCCTGGCCGCGGGCCCAGTCGGATGGGGCCTTTCCGCGCTCGGGACCGCGGGGAGGCGGCGGCGAGGGCAGCAGGCCGCATCCTCCGAGCGGCGTCTCTGAGGCCTCGGGCCTGGCTGGATCGGTTGGTTGGCCGGCCGGGAACCGGCGTGGGACCTTCCTGCGGGATTGTTTGTGTGTGTTTTCTCTTCAAAAGGTCCCCTTCGAGGCCCTGACTTCGGAGTAAATCTCTTTAAGGGGGTCCTGGGTGGGTTTCCCCATGTAATAAATAAGGAATAAAAAGACTAATAAAAAGAATATTTGCAGGAAAGCTGGGATGGTGGGGGGAGTGCTATTTGGGGACTTTAGATGAGCTGTTCCCAATATTTCAGATTCATTTAAGTTTTTCCATCTTAATTCACTAATTCTCAGTGCTGTCTAACGTCTTTGTGTATATTTTTACCCATGTAGTATGGCTGCAGTATTATTATTGTGTATATTTGCCCATGTGGTATGGCTGTATTATTATTTTCTTTACCACCCACTCTTATTGATATCATGCAATGATTATTGTTCTGTTGCTTTGCGTGTACAGGAGACAAATTCCTTGTGTGTCTAATTACACTTGACCAAATAAAGTATTTTATTTATCTACTTTATTATTTATCTTAATGTATTAATTTATCTTAATTTATTAAATAAAATTATGAATTTATTTAATTGATCAAATGTATTAATTTTTCTGTTATTCGGTTATCTACTATTTATCTTGCTCTCAAGATGAGTAATGGGAAATAAAGTGCACAAAAGAGACTGAGAATGCTGGCTTGGTGTCTGGGTGATTAGTTCTAATCTCTTCATTTTAGCTAGTTTGTGGTTAGTTTTAGCTTAGTGTGTGGCTTAATGTGTGATGAAAATGCAACTGATCCCTGGTGAGCTGGCTTCATTTAGGGCAGGGATGCCCAACGTTGGCAACTTTTAAGATTTGTGGACTTCAATTCCCAGAATTCTCTAGCTGGTTATGCTGGCTGGGGAATTCTGGGAGTTAGTCCACGGGTCTTAAAAGTTGCCGAAGTTGGACCCCCCTGATTTAGATACAGGATGTTCTTTGGATGCTGTGTTTTCAATTGTAGCTTAATCTATTTTAGCATTAAAAATTGCAGTAAAAATCTTTGAGGAAAAAAAGAAGGGAGGAGTTATTAGGTATGTTCGCTGCCTTGAGTTACTTAAAATAATGAAGACTGGATAAAAAGGTTTTTTTAAAAATGTGAAAGTTACCAATTTCAATAAACACGATTAAGCCTACCAGCATTGTGTATGACATATCTGGTTGATGATTTCTATCTAATGGAACTTGTTGCTTTAAGAAGTTAAAACACCCAGTAAAATGATTTGGGTTACCAATGATACTTGGACACAATTGGGGTTGCACAGGTGGGCAAATATAGCTTATTATTCAAAAGGAAGATTGTTCATAACTGGTCAGTGATGATGACAATTTTATACTCATCGCCAAAAAGGGAAACTTTTTTTTAACCTACTTTATACTGAACCTGCTTTTGTCCTGTCATTTATTCCGTTTTCTTATGCTGCTGTCATGCTATTTCAGCCATGTTTCTAACCTTTGCCAGCATTATGTCACAGTTATCAAATAACTTTGTTTAATTAATTAAATTTATATGCCACTCACCTTGCTATCAAGTTTTTCTGGATGGCTTGCAGTTTAACTACATATTTTTACATATAGTGACCACACATGAAGAAGAAGAAAATGCAAATACTGTGCAGATATTTGCAAATTTGAATGCAACTAGAACTGCCATAATGATTTTATATGTTTTAATTTTTGATTGGGAGCCTCTCAAGAGTTGCCTGAAAAAGGGTGGCTATATAAATATATTAAAGAATGTTTTTAAAAGCAAAATTGTAGTCACTGCCTGGGGCTTTGAGATCTAGATGACATCTAGCCATTTCATATTACTGTATTTCATTTAATGTGTCTACTACTACTATATTAGTAGCTTGTAAGTGGCCATGAGTTTTACAATTCTCAGAGTATATCTGACGTGTATGAAATCTTAAATATAGATCCCAAAAAGGGTATGTAGGAAACCTTGGTTTAGATTTCAGTGGCTTCAGTTTAATTGTGTGGGATACAAATAAATGTAACTTTGAACACACGTCAAAGAGGGAAAGCCGGTTTGGCATTTTGGATCTGAAAAAACAGGTTTAGCTGGAGTTATAAGCAAGTCCTTCTCATACCAAACTTTTTTCATTCCTAAGACTGCGGTGCTTTGGATTTCATTCTAGTAAATGCAATAGAAATGTGAACGCATATCTATTATGTCTATAACTAATTAATGCATTTCAAAAAAACATTCTGAGCTCTTAACAGTAAGTCTTTTCTTTAACTGAAGGAACGTTTTAAATTATTTTTACATCTGTGGGGGCATCCTTGAATCATCACACAGAGGCAAGTCTGAAAACATCTGGCTTTTAATTCTGTCACGTTGCAATCAAACTCTGGCAGCACAATCTGAATTATCCCTTTGTTGCGGAATAGGAGCTAGGAAATGCATGCAACTTGTGGGTATGGTGCAGTGACTCTGGGGTTTGCACTGGCACCAAGGACAGATCCAAAGTGAAGTCCACCCTTGGTCTTGTAAGTTCACTGAGGGACTTTTGACTTTGGGGTAATCCTCTCTCACCCCAAGCACCCCACAAAATTGCTGTTTTGCAAAAAAAAAAAAATAGAGGAAGAAAGGTCCCACCCAGTTCTCCTTCTATCCTCCTCCTCTCCTGTCCCTCCTGTTATCCTCCTCCCCTCCTCATCCTTTTCCTCCTGTCCCTTCCTTCTCCTCTTCCTCCTTCTCCTGCCCCCCTCCTCCTCTTCCTCCTGTCCCCCTCCTCCTCCTCTTCCTCCTCCTTTTCCTCCTGTCCCCCTCCTCTTCCTCCTCCTGTCGTCCTCCCCTCCTTCTCCTCCTCCTCCTCCTCTTCCTCCTCCTGTCCTTGTTGAAATGATGTTGCCTAGTTTTTGCATAACGTCCACAAGCAAACCACGAAGCTCAGAGATCACCAAGGGACCTACACTCCTCTCCTTCAGTTCTTCTTGTCCTTCTCCTCTCCCCAAACCCCACTCCTTCCTATCCCTCGATGGTGTTGCCTATTTCGGTAATGCCAAGGAAACCACCGAGCAACAGAGGAACCCCCACCTCCAGCCCCGGCCTGTCCATATCTCCCTTATGGGATCCCGGGCTGCCAAAACTCCCAAGCGGCCGCAAAGGCACCTCTCCCTGCCCGCCCTCCAACGGGCCTCGGGCCCTTCGCGGGAAGCCCGAACGGCGAACCCCCGGAGAAGTCTTCCCTCCCCGCCAGGGCCTGCCTCCACATGGACGCTGCAAGGCCTTCCCGCGAGGAGCGAGCGGTAGAGCCCGGCCGGGCTCCGGGGGAGGGAAGGGCGGCAGCAGCTCCTCCTTCACTGGCGCGCTCGGGCCTCCTTGGCTGCTGCTCCTCCTCCTCCTCCTCGGTCAGGAAGCGCCGCCAAGGCTGCTGGTGTTGCTGCCGCCGCCGCCGAGGCCGCCCCCCCCCCCCCCCCGCAGAAGGAGGCGGATCTGCTGGCGAGGTAAGGGGAGGCTGCGGCCCTCAGAGAAGGCCGGAGGGGCTGAGAGAGGGAAGGGAAGGAGGCGCCCTCAATGGCGGCGCCTTTTTCCCGCCAAAAAAAGAGGCCGCTTTGCCTGGCTTCTCCTGGCCGGGCTCCCAATCCCCACGGCGGCGCCGAAACACGGACCCTCCTCATAAAAGGAAAGGCCGGGGGCTGGAACCCCCCCATTTCCTCAATCCCCCCCCAAAAGCCCCTCAAGGTGGGGAAGGGCCCGTCTCACCTCAGGATTAACCAACTTCACGCGCCCCCCCAGGCCGCCCTGCCCGCTTTTATTTTTATTTTTATGCATGGATCGCCGGTTTTGACTCGTCTCCTTTCCCCCCCCCCGAAAAATTGGGTCCTCTATCCCGCCCCCTTTGGGGAAAGGGCGATCGGCTCCCCCTCTGATTAAAGGCAGTCCTCGATTTACAACGGTTCGTTTACTGACCGTTCATTGTTGGGATGGATTGGTGTGTTCAGTCAGAAAAAAACCCGAATGTACAGGTAGCCCTCGACTTAACAGTTCGTTTAGTGACCGTTCAAAGTTACAGCGGCACTGGGGGGCGGAAAGGGGGGGTTATGACAGTTTTTCCCCCAGGGGTAACATTTGCAGCATCACGTTTTGCAACTTTTTGACAGTAAAGGGGAAGCCAGATTAACTTAACAACTGGGTTACTAATGTACCAACTGCAGTGATTCGCTTAACAACGGTGGTGAGAAAGGTCGTAAAATGGAGCAAAATTAACTTAACAAGTGTCTTGCTTAACAGAACTGTCGGGCTCAGTTGTGGTCGTAAGTCAAGGACTACCTGTAGTTAAAAGAGTTCCTGGAATTATTAAAAATAACAATAAATCCGTTATGGTTTGATGGGAGGCACATGCCAACTTTGGATAACATTAAAAAAAATCATACAGGTAGTCCTCAATTTACAATCTCTTGCTTAGTGACCGTTCCAAGTTACAATGGCACTGAAAAAAAGTGACTTAGCACCGTTTTTCTCACTTAACGACCCGATCAAAATCCACGCGCTTGGCTTCTGACTTGTATTTATGAACCTGGGTCACAGGTCCCCTTTTGCAACCTTCTGACAGACAAAATCAGGGCTCATTTGTGATCGTAAGCTGAAGACTATCTGTATTCTACTCTATTTATAATAATAGTACAGCATATTTATTTTTTTAACTTGTACTTACTATATTACTCTTTGCTTTTAGAGTGAAATGGCATGGAAAAGTTATTCCCCCTTGTACCATAATTGGACCAGCTATTTACTGTAATTTAGAAATGTCTTCAATATCCTTATTATTCTTGAGATTTCTGAACACAGCATTCCATCATCTCCAATATAAGTTTTATGCTAGTGTTCTTGACTCTGATGTTTTTTTTCTTTCAGCTATGGAAATGTTGCTTTTTTTTCTTTTTCTGGAGCTTAGATTGAGAATAAGTTTGCTTATTTTCTGTACATCTCCAGTAGGCATTTGTTTAATAATCATAATGATACTGTGGTAGTCATGCAGATTAAAATAAAAGTCCAATAAAAGCTCTCTAGTCCAGCTGGACACTTGGAAACTGCACAAACATATCTATTCAGTTTTCTAAATGGTTACAGAAATGATTTGCCATTGTCCTGTTCTTTAAGTCAATCCCGACTTCTCTCTGACATCGGCTTAAAAAACTCCCAAAATGATAACAATTTAATTTTTTCCTTTCCGCTTTTGAATGTAAATGCTTAAGATTCTTGCTTAATTTCTCCAATAAAATTAATGAATGTGAAATTTCAGAGGCTGCAAAAAGTATGAGTAATGATTGTTGAATAAATTATAATAAAGTATTTTAAGCTCAGCTGTAAGTTCTGCGCCTTTTGAAACAAACTTATTTTCCCTTAGCCTTTCATAAAATCGTATACAAAAATTCTTGTGGAATCCTAGAGTTTGAAAAATCTTTAAAATAGGAGATGAAAATCTCTATTTGCATTAATGAAGCTTTTAGGGGCCACTTATTTATATTGCATATATAAAATGCACTATTTTTAAATTAACTTGCTGAGAAATGTGGTGTATTATTTATTTTTATATTTATTTATTTTATAAATTGGTGATGTTGCTATGGTGTACACTAGATTAGAGCTCTGAAGATTAAAGCAAGTACATAAATCTTATTAAATAAATGAAGGATTAACAATATGCTATCTGTTATTTTTAAAAGCATATGTAATTAACTCTTGTGATCATAGATGGTGATGTAACCTTTGACCCTTTTAAAAAGACATAACTCTGTTTGGTCCATACTGCTTAATATTTTTCTATCATCCATCCCATTCAAAATATATGTTTTAAATTAATGTCAAATAAAACAGCTTCAGGGAGATGTCCAAAATTGCTACAATGTACGCTGTATGCTTAAACTTTCAATATCAGAAACTTTGTCCTGTTTCTTACAGTCAACCTGGAAAACGATGAGAAAGAACTGAGCATTGTGTAAAAATACAAGAGCTTTTCTCAACTCTTTTTAAAATTAGACTATGACTAATTTCTTCTCAGTAATTCTGTTCTTACTGGTCCCCAAATGCCTCAAAGGCTATTGAGGAAATTAACAGTGTATAGGAGTTAATTAAAGGTTATGTTGATGTAACAACCAGTATGGGTGTTTCTCATTAATTCACACTGCCCCTGCCTGTTTAATATATTACAGTGTATAAGACTTGTTCAAAGAGATACATACAACATATTTAGAGATAAAATACTTTTTTCAAAAGAAATTTTTTAAGCCCAGCAAATTTTCCTGAAGTTTCCAGAAGTTTCTTTAGCAAATACCCAAAATGAAAATTATATACAAATCTTTAATTATCCATTAATGTTTATCTGGGAATTGTAGGTGCCTCTAGAATTAACATTATTTGAAGAAAAAGTTTGCCTTCCTATCAGGCAAATAGCATATATTTTGGAGCTATAATATCACCTCTGTTTGAAAACCTTTAAACAATCACACCGAATTCAAGAGAGACAGAAAGACAGTCCTTTTTTATCTATATTTGAAGAAGAAAAACTAGAGGAGCAATTTTTCTGAAATATATTGAACATTATTAAAAATACCTTTGTAATAGCACTTGAAATCCCTTTACAGGTAGTCCTCAACTTACGATCACAATTGACCCCAGAATTTATGTTGCTGAGAAATTTGTTAAGTGAATTTTGGCCCATTTTATGACATTTCTTCCCCACCGTTGCTAAGTCAATCAATGCACTTGTTAAATTAGTAACAGTTGTTAAGTGAATCTGGCTTCCCCATTGATTTTGCTTCTAAGTAGGTCACAGAAGGGGATCACATAATCTCGGGACACTGCAATAAATATGAACCAGTGGCCAAGCATCCAAATGTAAATCATATGACCCTGGGGATGCTACAATGGTCATAAGTGTGAAAAATAGTCATAAATCACTTTTTTCAGTGCCTTTGTCACTTTGAACAGTCACTGGGTGAACTGTTGTAAGCCAAGGACTACCTGTATTTTTTTAATGTTATCAAAAATTGGCCTGTGCCTCCCATCAAACCCTGATGGATTTGCTATTTATATAATTCCAGGAACGCTCTGACTTTTTAACTACATTGATTTTTCTTACTGTATACCAATCCAGCCTAAAAACGAACAAATACAGCTGAAAACAAAGATAAACAAAATCATTTGTTAGGGAGAAGCAGTTCTGATCTATGCATTTCAAACTGTGAATACATCAAATAAATTATTGGAGCATAAGAATGAATAGAAACACACAGAACCAAAACTCGTGAACACAGAGCATAAAATGAGCAAAGTACAGCACTGCAGGTATGAATATACCCTTCCTGTTGAGGAGGAAGGAAATTCATGAGTGCTGATTATGAAAGAATGCTGATGTGATTTCAGTAAAAATGGGGAGGGAAGTAAATAAGAAGTTACTTTGTGAATGCTTATACTGTGTTTTGATATTTTTGAAGGAAAACAGCAAAATTAATGCTGTTGCATCTCTTTCCAGAACTAGTTCTAGCCCTGATGATGATTTTAAAAGGCCAGCTTTTCCCATCCCATCCCTCTGACAATTCATGGAGAAGTCTGAAATTCTTAACCCCCAAAAAACTTGCAGATTTTCCTGTTGTAAAATCATTACAGGAAATGAGATGCGTGTGTTTGCCAAGAGCTAAACGAATCTTAACATAATTATCTGATGCCGCTTGATCTCTCTTTTATCTTTTAATTAAAATGATGCTGCAGTCTTTCCTCCCCCTCCCCCCTCCATTATAATACAGAAGGAACAGAACCTCTGGAATAAGTGGACAGGTGGAGGAGTCCTTGACTTAAAACCATTGGTTTAGCAACATGTTCAAAGTTACAACGGCACTTGAAAATCTGATTTATGACCATGACAATATGCCTTTGGTCACATGATCAAATTCGCCCACTGGGCAACCGGCCTGTGTTTACAACTGTTGCAGTGTCCTAGGTCATGTGATCATTATTTGTGACCAGCCAACTTCCATCAAGCGAAGTCAGTGGGGGAAGCCGGATTTGCTTAATGATGTCATAATTCACTTTAACAACTGTAGTGGTTCGTTAAACAACCGTGGCAAAAACGATTCTAAAATCAGGCTTTGCTTAGTGGGAATTCTAGTTCCAATTATGGTCATAATTCGAGAGCTACCTATATAGGGTAGTATAGGGGGCACAACATAAGAGCTGTTATTTTGTTTTGCTATATTGTTGTCTTAGCTTGTATAATGGGGGGTCTTTCTAATTTTTCCCAAGGATTAATCACTGCTATTTAAATTTTCATCGCATGTGCTTCAAAGATTTGTATGTTATTACATGTGATATCTGATAACTAAACTATCAGCTATGTTGATTTGAGTCCTTTTACAATTTGGGTGGATGGTGGCTGCCACTGACATTTCTTCATTTTCTAATTTTTTAAATCCTTTTGCGGTATTCTTATACTAAGGTACATCAAATTGTCCTTCCTTTTCTCTTCCTAGAAATGAATCATGTGAAATATTCCATCTGACATGAATCTGCCTTTCTTAAGAGACCATCTTGGCAATTAACTGTTCACAGCATTTGTTTTGCAACATGTAATAGATTTTTAAGACAATTTTTGTTCTGCTGGTAATAACATATTCCTGAAATTAGTGTTCTTTTCCTATATTAAGATTTTTAGATCTTTTAGACTTAGGCATTTTTTGTTTATGGAATATATAATATCAAAAGTATTACACTGTAAGCTGCCTAGAGTTGTACTGAACAGGGAGATGGGCAGTATGTAATAATAAATAAATAAAAATTCAATATTGATAATATCAAGACATGAACAAAGTTGAGGATCTTGTAATTAAAACGAAGGCCTATAAGTCTTTGATAAAACTTCCAGAGAACAAAAATATTTTACTCCATGAAAATAAGCTGGAAGGAGTGAATTAAACTTAATGAGTTAACTGGAATCAGGATGCATTTTTCTCTGCTTGATATGTGCAACTGAAAGAAAAGTTTAACCCAAAATTTGAAAATGTATTTTTACATACATACATACATCTTAAGTAATTCTTAAAGTAGGCAAAAGCTATTGAAAGTGTATTTGTGAGTTCCTGTATTAAGAGAAAGTTAAAGAAAATGATGCCACAGTTTAAAGAAAAACTATGTTAAAAAGGATGTTTATAAAAGACATACATACATACATGTATGTAGTTTGGAGGGAGGGATCTAAATGCAATATTGACGTTTAAAGCTTGTATGTTAAGTCAAAGAAAAAGATGTATTAGAAAGTTTTGATTTTTAAAATATTTTTTTAAAAAAAAGTTTAGTACTTTGAAGGAAAAAAGGGTGGGAAAGGGGTTTTTCCCCCTTTTTTCAGTAAGGTCAAAAAATTTGAAAGAATACATTTGAAAGAATACATTTTGTAAATAAAAATGATGACAATTCACAAAGATTACTAGGTGCAAATAGAAATACACATTTCCATAGCAAGGAAGATAAAGCAGGAATGGTTAAATTGAATACTTTATTTAAAGAGGAAAATGTGTTCTTATTTGGATATCACTTCTGGAATTCATGCTTGTGAAGAAGAAAAAATGAAACTTTGATCTTAGTTTTGTTGATTAGAAAGATTTGGTGTTACAGGAATGGCTAGTTGTATATTAATGTGTAAAAGCAAAAAGTTGGAGTGTTTATCTTGTACTGTGCTATGAAGAGTTGGAAGTCAATGCCCCCTTTTCTTTCTTTTTCTTTTCTCCTTTGTATCTCACACCCCCTTCTCCCCGCTCCCTTTCCCTCCCTTAATTTCCTATTTCTTTTCCTCTTGTTTTTATATAATAAAATAAAAATGATAAATTTAATAAAAAAGATAATATAAAGACATAATTATGCCATTGAAGAACAAATAATCAAATCTGTTTGATTGCTTATACACAGCATTTTACCCTGCTTTCAACCTTAAAACATTTCATATGTAAATATTTATAAATGTTATTTTTTAAAAAGATGTTACAATACTTTAGGTTCAAACAAAATTGCTGCTTAAATATTCAACCATTATCCTTTTTTTTTTTTTTTCTTTAGTACTGCATTTATATTTCCTTTCCATTTGTAATCAAACTTTTTTCGGTTAAAGCGTAAAGAATTCCACTTTTTTGAGCCTGCTAGAAAGCACGGGGGGAGGGGGGAGAAATGTTCCATCCAACGTCAGGATTCAGCGGCAGCTTCTAAAACACTTGCTCCTTCTCTCCATTCTAGGTTGGCTGCCCTCATCCCAAACATGTGGCCTGGAAGGATAACCTGTCCCATTCCCGACGTAAGCCCCGTCACGTGGGGAGTAGAATAACTCCGAGGCAATTGCATTTTGGGAAAAAGAAAATGCCAAAGAAAAAGAAAAACTTTGGCGCGAGCCCTTCAAGAAAAAACACAAACCCAGAGACAGTTTCTGCGACTGATGCCTCGTCCTCACCAGCCTCGTTACATGGAATCAATAAAGAAAAACTCATCAGCGGGCTTTCCGAAATGTTCTCAGATTTGGATCCGACGGTCATTTACATGGTGCTGTCTGAATGTGACTTCAGAGGTAAACTCTCAATTTTGTGGTTATTTCCCTCCCTCCTACTCACTTTATAAAGGGGCTTGAAAAAAAAAGGATGCTGACATTTATGCCTATTCTAGGGGAGAGGTCTCCAACCTTGGCCACTTTGAGACTTGTGGACTTCAACTCCCAGAGTTCCTCAGCCAGCAAAGCTCTGGGAGTTGAAGTCCACGAGTCTTAAAGTGGCCAAGGTTGGAGAGCCCTGTAAATCTAGGGATCAATTCCAGCCCCAGGAAGTACAGGGACTTACGACCACACTTGATCCTGAAATTTGTGGTGTTGAGTGAGAATTTCTTAAGTGAGTTTTGCCCCATTTTTACGGCATTTCCTGCTGCCGTTCTTAAGCGAATCACTGCAGTTGATAAGTTAGGGCCCTGGTTGTTAAGCGAATTGGGCTTCTTTGTTGACTTTGCTTATCCAAAGGTCGCAAAAGGGGACCACGTAACCCCCGGGGACACTGCAACCGTCATAAGTGTGAACTTGTTGGCAAGCACCTGAATTTTGATCACATGATCATGGGGATGTTGCAAAAGTTGTAACTGAAAAACAGCCGCAAGTCACTTTTTTCAGTGCTTCTGTAACTTTGAACGGTCATTAAATGAACTGTTGTAAGTCGAGGATTGCCTGCATTCCATTGAGTCACTGGGACCTCTTGCATTTTTCCATTGGTTTGCCTTCTGCTGTTGAACTTTCAGCGGAGCCAACGCATTATCTATGGCAGAGGTGGGCAAACTTTTTGGCTCGGGGGCCTCATTGACTTTTAAAATTTGACAGATGGTCCGCCACCTGGTGTCAAAATGCCTGTCATTACAAGTCAAAATCAAATGAATTCAATCATTCAATCATTCACATCAAACCTTAATTCTGTACCAATCTTTGGCGGGCCGGATTAAAAAGACCAACGGGCCGGATGTGGCCCGCGGGCCGTAGTTTGCCCACCCCTGATCTATGGAGACCTTAGGAACTTGCTGATGGGGAAAGGGAGGTCTTGGCCTCCAACCATGCAGCTACAGGTAGTCCTTGGCTTACAACCACAATTGACCCCCAAATTTCTGTTGCTAAGTGAGACGTTTGTTAAGTGAGTTTTCCCCCCCCCCCCCCCCTTTTACGACCTTTCTTGCCGCATTTGTCAAAGGAATCAGTGAAGTTGTTAAATGAATAATACGGTTGTTAAGCAAATCCCACTGTCCCATGGATTTTGCTTGTCGGAAGGTCATAAAGGGGGATCACGTGACCCCAGGAGGCTGCAACCTTCATTCATAAGAGTGAGTTGCCAAGTGAACTGTAACTTTGAACAGTCACTAAATGAACTGTTGTAAGTTGAAGACTACCTGTATTTATTTATTTATTTAGCATATGGCATACATATGCCATTGAAAGGGATGCGGTGGCTCTATGACTAAGACGCTGAGCTTGTTGATCAGAAAGGTCGGTAGGTCAGCGGTTCGAATCCCTAGCGCCACATAACGGAGTGAGCTCCCATTACTTGTCCCAGCTTCTGCCAACCTAGCAGTTCGAAAGCATGTGAAAATGGAAGTAGAAAAATAGGGAGCCCTTTGGTGGGAAAGGAACAGCGTTCCGTGCACCTTATCGGTGTTTAGTCATGCTGGCCACAAGACCACGGAGACGACTTTGGACAGTGCTAGCTCTTCGGCTTTGCAACGGAGATGAGCACCGCCCCCTAGAAACGGAAACGACTAGCACGTAGGTGCGAGGGGAACCTTCACCTTTATGCCGTTAACTCTGACAGGGTGGAGTTGGGGTTGGAAGGATCACATTTCTTTGCAGTTATCTTGTTGTTAACCCTAACCCCCTAACCTCTAACCTAACCCTGAGAGCTCTTAAGGTTACTTGAGGGTTTATTTGTGCCCAGTTGCTTGTGGAATCTTCTTTGAACTGCTACAAAGGTTTCTTGTAGACTGGAGATAGGTGGTGTCTTATCCCTCCTCCTCTCTTGAGAGAGGACTGTTCCGTGTTAATATAAATGGCCTCTTACCTCTTTCAAACCAATGCTGCCCTCTATCCAGAAAGTGGACTTCGCTGTCTTCGAAAGGGTGACCTTTGTCTTCCAAATGCAGCTGGACTGCTGAATCCCCCCCCCCCCCCCGTGGCTTTGATCTCCCACGTTGTGCCTGCGAAGTGGCTGTTTTGTTTCTGATCTGCTCATTGCATTGTATTGCATGTATCACATCGCTGAGTTTGTGTCTGGGTGTTTTATCTTTGTGGGGGGACAGGCTTCAGCCTTGGTGTATATAATTGGGTTTAAAGTGGGTATGTATGTTGTGTTGGTTGAAAATCGTCTGGAGATTTCTAGATGTTCCCGCAACGCATGGAATGACAACGTTGCTTCATTGTTGTTCTCCTCTTTCTTTGTCTGTTTTAGAGAAGGGTCTTTTTCTGGATTGGATGAAGGTCCAGCTGTGATAGCCACAAGTTCTGAGGGCTTCATTAATTTTGTCTCATCTCAACTTTTACCAATCTCTATTTTCAATGACAATTAAAAGAACCAGATGTACTTTTTTTAAAAAAAAGATAAGAACTCTTCCCAGTGACACCTTAGAATCCACATTTTAAACAAATCTATTTATCAAATTTTTATATCGCCCATCTCACTTGAGTGACTCTGGGCATTTTACAATAAAACAAGGTTTCAGTGCAATGTAAAAGTATCGCAATACTATATTTACCTTGCTTTGTTTGTTAAAAAGACATTTTAGCGCTCTCAATTTTTCTTTATTCATAAAATGTGCATGAATACTTGACAAGTCTTTCACGATAATTGTCGCGATTTTCTTTTCAAGTTGCACCTAACGAATGGTTTTGCACCCATAACTCAAAATTCATGTTTAAATGTAAACACAATATTTAGATCAAGCATTATTTTTTTAAAAAATTGCTTGCTTGTAGTCCTCCCTGTTAGTTCAAGGCACTGCTCTTTGGCCCCCCAGGTAGCAGAATCTGTGAAGAGTGTCCTTTAATCAGTCTTTTTTTGAAGAGAGGGCAAAGGTCGCTGCAAGACAAGAGGAGACCCAGGTAATCTTTAAATGAAAATTCACTGCCTCGTTTATTTCTGCAATGCTACTTGAAGTTGGTGTGTAGAATCAGGAATAAGTTTAGTAAAGTAATCGTGTCCTTTCTTTGTTTTTACTAGTGGAAGAGACTATGGATTATCTACTGGAATTGTCCACAGCTGCTAAGGATACAGTATGTTCAACAAAAGTGTCAGGTTTTGATTCCCTGTCCGCATTGCTCATTGGTGGAAATAACTCAAGCTGCAGTACTCATGAACTTGAGGGTCATGATACTACTGCAGTTGCGAAGAGTAGTGAAGAACCCTCATCCTCTGAAGAACTGGCACTCTTGATAGATAATTCTCTTGAGGACCGCAGTGGAAAAAGTGAAGCAAAGAAATCAGAAAATGATCATCATCTAGGTAGCCTGAATCTGGCTCGGGACCACAATAATTCCAATTGCACTGAATTATATATGAACTCCAACGGAACAGCAATAGAAAACTGGTTGACTGCCTTAAAACCAAGTTATAAGGAAGCCGCTGAGTCGACATCCATATCAGAGATTGAGACAAAGGATATTCTGACACAAAGCCCAGAGAGTAACACTTTGCCAGAAGTTGTACTCGACAGTGGTGCCGTTTCGGAAAGTGTGATGTTAGCCGACAAGGCCGAGTCTTACACTGAGCCAAATCAAACACACAATGTTTTATTTGACTTTACAGCGGTAAGCACCCTGACTGCTCAACGTCATCAGATTTTTGCAAAAATAGAGACCAATGCCTTTCCTAATTCTCCTGCTTCTTTGCAGGAGGCTGAAGGGCAAGAAAATGTAGTGGCTCTCCGTGATAATCTGAAACAATTCTGCGTTCCTGACCTGTGCGCAGGATCTGGTTTGAAATGGGCCCCTTTGACGAGGGAGACTGATCCTCCACAGCAAACGTGGCGTTCACAGTTTTCTCTGTTTCAGAAATACCCTCAGCGGTTTCATTTTTATCCAGCTTTTGAAGCGCAATGGGGAAATCATAGCTTTGTGACTCCTATCGCAGTCAGTCCTGGGAGGTGGAGGCCAGCTTCGGATTGTGGGAGTCAAGGAAAGACATTTTGCTCTCCGGAAGTTTCTAAATCCTGGGAGAGCCTCTCTTGTGTGCCAAAGAGATGTGCAAATAAAAACGGGCGACCAAGACATCATTTTTCTCAAGACCACCAATTGCCTGGTGGTCACATAATGAACAGGAGGACCTTCGCAGGTCATGTACTGGTTCTCCTTCGAGGGCTTCCTGGATCGGGCAAATCCTATTTGGCAAGGTAGGTTCTGTGTACAGAAGATTCAGAAATACGACGTTGCTGTCTTCTTTTTGCTCACACACAGATACATCATTCAATTCTATCAGTTAGCCAAATTCCCTTCCGACCTTATGCAGGTAGTCCTCGACTTAATAACAGTCTATTTAATATTACAGATTAACAGATTTGGAAGGGACCCAGTAGGTCATTTAGTCCAAACCCCCCACCCAAGCAAGAGACCCTACACCATTTCTGACAGATGGGAGTCCAATCTCTTCTCGAAAGCCTCCAGTGATGAAGCTCCCACAACTTCCGAAGGTAACTTCTGTTCCATTGGTTGAAGAACAGTTGCTGGAATTGGATATGGCTAGTTTAATGGAAAGAAGGACCAGGGGTGTCATTGTAGCAGTCTTCCAATGTATCGAGGGTTGCCACAAAGACGGGGGTCAACCTATTCTCCAAAGCACCTGAAGGCAGGACAAGAAACAATGGATGGAAACTGATCAAGGAGAGAAACAACCTAGAACTCAGGAGAAATTTCCTGGCAACCCAATTAATCAGTGGAACAACTTGCCTCCAGAAGTTGTCGATGCTCCAACACTGGAAATTTTTTAAGAAGAGATTGAACAACCATTTGTCTGAAATGGTATAGGGTTTCTTGCCTGAGCAGGGGTTGGACTAGAAGACCTCCAAGGTCCCTTCCAATTCTATTTCTTGATACTACTTTTTATGTTTTTATTGTAAACTGCTCACAATCACTAGATGAGATGAGCAGTGTAGCAATGTAATAAATAAAATAAGTTATAAATTAGAGCCAATTTAGTCCCAGTATAGGGACTATACAGCATTCATGACAGCCTGTGAACGTATGGCTTCTCTCACTACATCAAAAGACTGCCAGAGATTATTGTAAGTTATTTTTCTGAAAGATCTAAATAGTGAGAGTCACAAGGATGAACAATACCCAGGTTTATTTTCACAATGATTTGTAGAAGATGAGAAGAAGGTGTTGAAAAGAAGATGAGAGCTGTGTTTGTCATTGTTCGCAGGGTTTTGCTTGAGGATAATCCTTGTGGGATCATTCTTAGCACAGATGACTATTTTTATCAAAAGAACGGGCAGTACCAGTTTGATGCTGACTGTTTAGCTGACGCACACGAGTGGAATTGGAAACGTGGTAAGAATTTGATGCAGCAGAACGTGCAAATGCTTTAGAATTTGCTGTAGAAGTCTAACTATAAATTTGATCAATAAATACACTAAAATGAATACGTTCTGCTAGTCCTAAAGGAATATTTCTGTCAGGATTTATGCTAATTGTCTTTGCATTAGGCGCATATTAAACATCTGAAAAATTAGACCATTTTAGATAAAGTACACATACATTTTCTGTCCCTGGGCCCCTAATCAGTTGAAAAAAACCATCCCTGATGAATCATATATGGAACTGCGCTAACAAATATATTAAATTAAGGAAAAAACCCCTTGAGGAGCATTTGGAAGTTTCAGTTGGTGCACAATATGGAGATACAGACAATTATGAATGCCACTCATTCAGCACATGTGACACATGAGTTCCATTGGTTACCAGGATGTTTCTGGGTAGAATTCAAGCTACTGCTACCATGGCCCGGGGAGGTGGGTTAATTATGGGACGTCTATGGAGATTCTCAGCCATCCAGGTCATGGTTGTTGCAGAAGTGCTTTTTTCAGGAGGCAACTGGGCTTTCTTTGGTTTTTTTGAAGACATTTCACTTCTCATGCAAAAATCTTCAGCTCTGACTGGATGGCAAAACCTTCCATTGCCCACCATCCTGTCAGAGCTGAAGAAGCTTCTTGGATGACAAGCGAAATGTCTTCAAAGAAAAACAAAGGAAGTCCAGTTGCCTCCTGAAAAAAAGTACCTTTGGGACCTATTTATGGGGCCATCTTTCCCATAAGGTGGTGTCTAGCCATTCTGTCAGACCTGGCAGCAGAGTCCTGTCTGCGAGAGAGTGTCATCTAGCACTGACAATGCTACCTACCGTGTTTCCCTGAAAATAAGGCCTATCCCGAAAATAAGCCCTACTGAGTGCCTGTGCAGCCAGCCACCTATTCTGTCTAGTTGCTCGCGGTGCTGCTAACACGAAGTGAGGCAAGAGGGTTGGTGGAGCTGCCCCATGCGCACACGGGCTTACCTCAGGGCTCCCACAGCTAGGCCATGCACACCGCGACAACTGCCTCGCAGCAGCGGCACTAGCAACCATGTGCAGCAGGAGCCCACATGGCCACCAGCCCATTTCTGCTTGCTCGCGGCTGCAACGGAGGAGGCTGAGCAACATGCCATGGCCGCCCACGAGGTAGGTAGGTGTCGGGGTGTGGATGGCCTAGCTGCAGGGGCCCTGGGTAAGGCAGGGCACATGGGGCAGCTCAAAAAAAATAATAACCCCCCCAAATAAGCCCTAATGCTTATTTCAGATCCCAAAAGAAAATAAGACCAGGTCTTATTTTTGGAGAAACACGATAGTTTAATAAAGAAACATCCGTAAGAAAATCACCAAGCTCAGTACAAAAGATCCTGAAGAGTGTCATCTGTTGGAATTCAGGGGTCTTTTTCTTCCCCCCATGGCACCAGCGTTCTGGAACATTCTTCCACAACCTGCCCCAAATTAGATTTGCCCTAACCCTGCAGGCCTTTCACAAGGCACAAAAAAAACCTGGCTTTGCCATCAAGCCCAGTTTATGACTTGTCTTGGCTGTGAGTCGTCTTGGCTGCTAATTTTGTTGGTTTCATATGTATATGAGATTGGCAGCCCATAAATTTATGAAATGATTAAAAGAAGTGTTGCTTGAGAGATCTGGAGTTTCTTTTTAAATGTCTTGGAGTTTTAGTTCAATGTGTAGTTGTATAGTTATGCGCATTATTGCACACATTATGAATTATATATTTGGGTTCTTTTTATTCCTTTTGCCTACATTTGTAATTACTGCAAGTACTTCAAAAACAGAGAAGCTGGAGAATTCAAAACAGATTATCAGAGAAGAACATCTTTTGTTTTCTATTAAGTAGTGATAATAAAAAATTGTTGGTTAGTTAACAATTAGTGTTTTATTTCTCAATTTATTTGCCAGCCAAAGAAGCCTTTGAGAAGAGGATCACTCCTATAATCATAGACAATACAAACACACAGGCTTGGGAAATGAAGCCTTACATTGCTTTGGTCAGTATTCCATATTTTAGTGATATTATGTTGAATATTGTTTATTTATAGATAAATGGGTGGGTGTATATAGCAGCGTGCTTCAAAGGATGTAAAAAAAAATCAAGATGATGGTTATACTGGGGCCATCAATGGTTTGCACAAACAATCTCCACATAAAAAAATCAAGTAGAGCTTTTATTGTGATTATAGGGTTGCCATTTTGAATTTTTTTATGATATCCTGTATAGTAAATAAAGTATTTATGGTAATATTATGGAGTCCTTGGTGCTTTCTGAGCTTGGTGGTTTTCTGGCTGACATTTCATTACCAAACTAGATAACATCATCAGTACTAGATGCTGCACTTGATATCTGTACCAAATCCCACTCCCTTCTAGCCCTGATGATGTTGCTTAGTTGGGTCATGAAACGTCTGCAAGAAAATAACCAAGATCAGAGAGCACCAAGAATCCTACAGTCACCATCATAGTTCTACTGCTACTATTACTACTATTCCATTTCACAAACCTCACTCCCTTCTAGCGCTGACGATGTTACTAGTTTGGTAATAAAAAGTCTGCAAGAAAACCACCAAGCTCGAAGAGCACCAAGGAACCCACATTTCAACGCTGAGCTACAAATATTCTCTTCAGTCCATGCTATAATATTCCAATCTAGGATTAGGGACCAAGATAGCCACAAGTATCATGGCACCTGCTGATATGGTAAAGTGTTAAAACAAAACCAACCCCCCCCCCAAAAAAATGAGATTTTATTTTCTGGGAGTGTTTTGAATTTTTAAGTGTTCATTCTCAGCTACCTGTCATCTTTATTCCCTTGTCTGGAATGCTGAATGTTGGCCTGCTCCTTAGATTTGGACTCCTTGTTCTTGTAGAGGATCCATTTTTTTTTTAAATTGGAAAGCCTTCCCGTGTAAATAAGTATGATTCAGATTAATTCAAGGACAACTTTTTTTTCCTTTTGTTTAGCCCTATCTGGGAATCCCCCAGCTTTATTCACATTAAAATAAATTATATTGAATCCACGGGGGATGAATCATATGCAAATACGATTAGGATTACTAGCTGGTCTTATGCTCTGAGAGCACTACAGAAATGAGACTTGAATTTTTCAAAAATATATGATAGAAGATATTGCCTTCAAGAGTTTTAACTCCTGGACAGTGCCTAGACTATTTCTTGGTAAGATTTGGCCAAAATGGTCGGCATAGCCTTCTTTTTCCTAGAGTTAAGAGAGGGGGACTGGTTCAAGTAAGACCCTGCATAGGGTAGCACTAGAACTTGTTGTATCTTAGTTTCTAGCCTAGCACCTAAAGCACTAGGCCATATTGATGTATCACATCAATATACAGACATAGCTGTTTTTAACACTACAGTGAAAAAGGTAAACCAGGTTGAGTTTGATTTCTGATAACACAATGGAGTTTTCTGGATAATCATATCCACAGAATTTGCCTTTTGTCTTCTTCAAGGATGATTTTCAATATCCAGGTCTAGCCTACACTCCTGGGATTTCTTGAGGTTTCTTCTAGGGTGAAGTCACCTGTGGCCTTCAACTCTCAGAATTCCCTAGTAAGCCATGCTGAATGAGGAACTCTGAGAGTTGAAATCCACAAGTTGCCAAGGTTGGACACCCCTGGGTTAAGTGGACTACTTCCTGTTTAGCTTTCTCACCCAAACAAGATTGCCCGGTGCTCCACTTGCCTGGGATCTCATGATAATGGAGCCTACCTAATTTTAGGAAGAAGAAATAACACAAAGAAGTTGTGACCAAACAGTAATAATGAGTAGAATCCTTTCCAATTAGAAACTGACCTGATACTTAATTCTTTAGCTGTTCATTTGTAAGAAGATGAGAGGAGATGAGCTTTATTGTCTGTATTCACACTGGCACACATTAAAAAATGAAATTCTGATGCCCACCTTCAAAAGCGTGTGTGTGTGTGTATAAAAACAACCCCCATACATATACATGCACATACATGAGCTATATGCACACACATATATATATGAGCTATATGCACACACATACACATATATATATACATATATATAGTATAAGCTTATACATTAATATAAACATGTATATTAATCAGAATCTATACTGAATACATAGTGGGGGAAAAATCTTGAGAGTTAACCAAGCTGATACTATATAGTACAGAGCTATTACAGAATTAATGAGAATGGTTATTATTATTATTATTATTATTATTATTATTATTATTATTATTATT